AGGATACCTCAGCCTCTGCTGCTTCAATTTGGATCTTATCCTTTTTTCAACCTGTCTCTCACAAGTACCCAGAGTTTATGAAAGTTCAATATTTAATACAAGTAAAACAAAAACACTATTACTTAAATTGTCTTGGCCACCTGTGTGCAGTTTAGTAAGCTGTAAACAACACTGACACATTATCATTTTATGTTAAGGTTGTTATGGGTAATTTATTAATACTATTATCTGTATCTGTTAAACCAACTAAAGTTATCTGTATTTATATCTGTACTCGGAATGGGCGGGGCTTTAAACCGACCCATGGTTGGGCACTAACTGGAAGGTTGTTTAATTTAAGCACTGAAATTTGATGTATGGGCTTGATCAGAAGTTGCTATTTTTATTTGTAAAGTGTTGTAAGTACATTATCTGGACCGGATACTTGTGTCCTCTCATTCAACACTACTATTTACATATCTAGAAACATCATTAAATTCTCCTATTTGGAGTCATGTTTCTGTGTACCAGACAAATGTAAGTATAGTATTCTCCCATATTTCACTCTGTTTTGGGTTCCGCCAACTCATCTCCAGCTAGTCTCCAACTTGGTCTGCTGTTAAGGGCAGAGCTGGTGGAATTCTCAATGGGTTGTCAGTACGAAAGACCCCTTTCACATAATACAGAGTAAGTTGATCCATTGTTGATAAAAATATGGATTAGTGCAGCTTTAGTTTATTAGATTTTTGCCTAAAAAGTCAAATTTTAAGATATTTAGCCTGCTAGAACATTATAATCAGTCTTAATAATCCATCAGGTGTCATATTTCTGTTATTAGTGTAAACTCTTCTTCATGTCATTGAACTGCTGCAGTCAGAGTAATATTACCAAGGACCTCAGTGGTAGCTACAGCCCCGAGCAGATGGAGAGGAAACATGAGGCAGAGCAGAGAAGTGTGCCAAACTGCTTGACTGTAATGTCAACAACAGTTCTGGCTTTTGAGATTTTGGAACAGGGACAAGGATTATAGTCGTACTCCAGCTTTCATACACCGCTCACACTACCAATAAATATATATCTTACATAGTTGCTGATTAGAGGCAAATAAAGATTATATTTCAGAAACCAAATGTGAAACTTTAAACGCCACAGTGTGTGAGAGAAATCCTCGACACAGTCATAACTCTGAAACCAGACGTGGGTTGAATTAGTAAAGCACACACCGTCAGTACAATACCATCACCAGGACTGTAAAGGGGTATACCCACACACACTACCATCACCAATACCACCACATGTACACACACACACACAC